GTCATAGTGCCCTCTCCCATACACCCATCCATATCTGTTGGATGAGGGAATCGCTTCCCCTATTTTTATCCACCCGCCGCTGTCATCATCAAATTGCAGTGGCTATTATTTCAGACTTTGGAGCAATTATCCTAATGGTTACTGGAGTGTGCAGTAGCAGTTCAGTTGTTTGGATTCATCTGGAGGTACAATTAAGTATCGCACCAGACGTTTTGTTTTGACATGTAACATGTGCTGTGTGATCCCAGCTATGTCCTACTATTTTGGTTACTTTCAACCAGTACAAGACAAAGCTAAAGGGCAGAAAATGTCAGTCTATCTGTCAATCAGAGATCTAGATAATGACCATCTAAATGAGAGGGAAATGAGAGAAAGCACTTCACAAGCTGGAAGAAATGGGAGGAGAGTGATAGTGGTTCAAGTGAATCTTCTAATTTAATTTTTACTTTTTTATTCCATATTTCTTTTTAAATCAAGATAAATAAGGGTATAATATTTTATTGGGTAACCATATGGACACCTTTTTTGTTCTCAACTTTACTTTGCTTAAGGTCACATTTCTATCAAAGCAACATTACAATATCTCATTTGTAAATGTCCAAGAGCAGCAAAATGCATTATTTAAGGCCACTAGTTTAAGAGAAATAATCCATTGAAATTAAAACAAATAAACTGCAGTTTAAAGACAAATACCCCGGGCTTCTAGTTTGTTTTTCATCCCAGTGCCACTTAAATTACATTTTGGTGTAACAACAACGCCTTATCAGTTCAGTCATTCATCAGTTCAACAAAAGCCCTGAAGCATCACTGACATCCACTCTCTCTACTGTGTCTTTGATTTTCAACACTTTCAGCACAGTGATTTATAATGTGAAGTTCACAATGAGAAGGTGCTGAGACTTTTGGGAGGAAGCATGCATAAATTAATGTTAAACTAACTCTTTAAAAGAGACCATCTGAGGCAAATTAATAAACTTCAGTGATGATAAATTATAGATGCTTTGAACTTGTCACAACAATACTATATTCCTTATTTCTATATGTAAAGTTGCATGCACAGTAGCCTATGTTTGTTTTTTTAACTAATTGAAACTTGACAATACGAAACACATATTGTCATTCCACCAGCAATACACATCAAAACAATGTACATGTCACCTGTCCCCCATATAATGTAAACGTTATGCACCTTATATTCAAATGTTCTCATTCATCCACCAATTGTATCATATTTTTTCAAATTTCAATAACATAGTAATAATTAATCTGATCTCATGCGTAAAAGAGTCAGAATGTCTAAAGCAACACTTGTTTTCTTCAAATCCCATATTAGCTATTTTGTTCTTATTTCTTAAATTCTAAATTAGTCACAAACAAGAGTCCTCTTACCTGAGCATGAATGGAGAGGCTTCGGCCGTACAATGAGCGACGGGCACACGGAGTAGAGAGAAAGCTTCTCGAAATAATCACAAGTCTCCTTGGAGAGGATCTCGTCGATCATGAAGGTCTTGTAGCGCCGCCTGGCCGCCTTCAGCTGGCCGGGGGAGGAGAGCCTCAGCTCCGCTTGACAGTGCATGATGTGTCGCTGTTCGCTGCACTATAGCTTCTCTTCAGTAATATCTAAAGCTCTGCAGGTTTAACCGTGTGCGATTATTGTAGCTCATGCGTTTAAATAACTCATTGTTTGTCTTCCCAAATGCAGTTTATCTCTCTCCGAAGTGTCCTGGGGAAGATAGTCTTCAACTTGAGCTCACACACACACACTGTTATCAACTGACTGCGATCTGCGCTCACACCCACTGCTATATAAACCATCCCTGTATTCATCTCTACCGCTCTAACAAACCTCTCTCTCGCTCTCTCTCTCTCGCTCTCTCTCTCGCGCTCTTACACATACATTCATGAACTGTAGCTACACACATATGGCCACATCGCAAACACTCCTCCTACCACAAAAAACGGATCTTCTCTTTCTCTCTGATTTATTTTACATATAAGTTGAAGCCTGCAATTTCTTAATTCGACTCCAAAAAGCTATGTTTTTCGTCAGATGCAGGTCATAGTTTCAACAATTTACAAATCTGTTCAAGTCTATGTTACACCTAGAATAATAATCACCGTTTCCGATTAAGGTTAACTAAAATCGGACAGCTTTTATTTAAAAACGCTTTGTATGGATCAGGCTATGTTTCTGTATTATTGGCTGTATTATTAGTTTAGATATAAATTACAACGTGTCCCATTTATTTTCTTATTAACTTGACTAACTCAGATTAGGCCTATACTCTAAGTTTTATTAGTACAATACAATATATATTCGTTATTTTGACTTTGGATTTACAGAGAAAGAAACACTTGAAGTGCCGTACCACAGACAAATAATAGTTCAATTATCTTTTCTTTCTTCATGTTCTTCTTTATTCTTAAACCCTGAACAAATAAATGGGTTGTGTTGTGTTTCGAGTCAGTCAATCGGTTTACATGCGTGACTAACAATTTTAGATTCAACCGTGCATTTTTTTTAATGTAATTATCTAAATGACATCATGATTGTTAATATTAGCCTACATATACAAATAATTATTATAATAAAATTTGACGCAACATTTGAAATATATTGTTGTTAGAGTATACTTCTTAGCCTACAAGAACAACATTAGAGGCTGCTTCTAAAGGAGAACATAGTTAGTAAAACTTCGGTTAAAGGCCAGGTCAGCTGTGCCATTTTCTCTAATGAGTTGCCAAGAATAATGACGCAATATTTGATTTATTAATCAACAAATGTGCGCACGGTATAAAGCATGCCGAGTATACAACTAACTGTCCTACTAACAATACATTAACAAAACACGTCTGTGACTCGTTTTTAAATTCATGATGTTTCCCCAAATATTTTTTATTTGAGAGAATATCTATTTTTAAATAGTGTCAGTCAGATCAAACAGGCTGATGGTCCTGACATTAATGTAATAAATACTACACATAGGCTACCGGCACTTTAAATTAAATGTTGAAAGAAACATTTGTGCCAATAACATCGTTTTATATGCATGTAAATCTCCCTTTAATTGTGGCACACACATCGTTTATGTGCTATTTTACGCCTGTCTTTAAGAACACGTTTACATATTGCACATTGCTTCAGATACTTGCTTGAATATATGAGATCATAAAATGAGTTTCTTTTTATCTAACATAAATACAAAACGATTAATCCCCGTGAGGAAACCCAAGTGCATGAAGCTTTTTCAAATAATGTCGGAGTCTGAAAGGAGGCGAACCGATTATCATCTAAAGAATTGGGAATAAATGGAACCCTGGTGCCTCGGAAGCCGCGGTACTCAAAGAGGATTATTGAGCAGGAAATATGGAGCTCTGTTTGGGAGAGCTCGGCCTCTTCAGGGGGTTTGATGGCTTCATCAAAGAGGGGGGGATGAGAACAACTGCTGTGGAGAACATTATATATTTTAGGTTGGAGGAAAGCCACTCCAAAAAAAAAAAACGGAGCTAAAGACATTAAATCGCTTTTAACTAGAATTTCGAAAACTTTTCTATAGCTTTTTTTGTTCTTTATTTGGAGAACAACGTTCATATGCTTGTTTTTTACTAAATACAACCTTTGTTTGTTTTTAGTTTTACTGCATTTAATAAGATGTTCTCACAACTTTCACACATTTGTTTTTCTCAAATAATCCTCTCTTCTTTTGAATACACCGTTCATATGTTTGTTTTGACTAAATACGAAGTATGTTTTGTATTAATTGTAGTGCATGTATTGCTTTCAGAAAACCTTAACCTGACAGTATCCGTTTTTTTCACACATTTTAAAGAGATCAAGACTGCATGAAAACACAAAGACTATGAGCAGCTAAATTAGGCCCAGGCTTTTCCTCGGGCTACTGTGGCACCGATGAACCCAACAACCTGAGTCTGTGCCAAGATCCGGGACTCGCGGCTGCTGTCACTTCGCGGCGCGGGGCTGCTGCAGAGGGAGGGGAGGGTCTCTGGATGTTTGGAAGTGGATCATTTGAGCAGACACGCTTCTATATAAGTCCACACAGCAGCGGCTACTGAGCGGCCTCTCTAATCCGCCCGCTGCAGGGCTGGAGACGCCAGGCAGATCAACCAATTAAAAGAGCTGTGCCGCAGCCAGGAGCGTAATAAGGGCTACTGACACCGAGCAGAGGATACTCTCCATTAGAGCCGTTTGGGAGCATCAGGATGCAATCTGACACGAGAAAGATTACAAGCAAGACCAGTTCCGAAGGTGCAAATGCAAACCCACGTTTGGACACTGGGAGATTTATTGGCGGGTATATTGTCGATAGCGCGCACTAGAAGTGGCATAAGCACTTTCGGAAGGGTAGATTATAACCTCAACACCGACATTAACGGATTTGATCATCACATTGTTGCAGGCAAGTCCGAACAGAGACACTGCGGTATATGTTGTGAAAAGCTCATCGGAACATGAGATGTGAAGGATCAAAGTGCTGCTAATTCTGGGATGGGACATTTCTTTCACATCAGTAAATTGAGAAAAAAAAAACTAAGTGGTGTTAAGCCTCTTCCTTTAAAAGAGAACACGATATCAAGTGTTCACCTTTGGTGAACAATAAATAAACCTTAACATAATTGCATGCTGTAAAGTGACCAGGCTGAGTTTCAAATCCATGTAAAGACTTGAAAGCATCCTAAATAGAAAGGTCAGATGTAGGAGCTGATCATGTGGCTCAGTTATATTTAACATCTTAATTGATTCAATAAAAGGATGTGTGTGGCGCCACCTGTAGATTACTTTTTAAACTCACAGCACAAGCATATTAGTTACACGTGGGCCATTTTTAGGTGCAGATGAGGCTTTGTGTGCATGCATTACAGCATGTAGCATCAACATACAATAGCTCACTTAGTCAAATACAAAGGGCTGCAAATAGCATTCATGATTTACAGCCAAGACCCAGGCGTGTGTTGTGGCCAGATGAAAGACACTGCAACAATCAAATGAAAGGAGCTTTATAGTAATGGACATTTTTAAAACAGTTCGTCTTACAGACTCAGAATAAAAAAATTAAATAAAGCTCTTTTGTTTTTTATAAAGAGCATGGTCAACAGATCCAACATTAAAAAAGGATGGTGCCCTATTATTGTAAAACTGGTGCTGGTGGAATCTTTAGCTGTCGTATTTTACAAAATACCTGAAGAATTGCAGCACCATCTGAATGGTTTTTGCATAACATAAACTGTCCAATATTGCAAATCTTTTTCTATAAATACATGTGTATTTTTTTCATCTCGATCATCTAAAATGACGAGTCGTGTCCAATAACTTTAACTTGCTCTCCATCAATACAGCTCAAAATATTTTCTGTGAGGACAAACTCACATGAAAGTGTAGAAGTTTAAAAACACCTTAAAAAGTAAACAAAAATGTCTCTAAGGCAAAGTTATCAAATCTTCAGAGTGGTGGAATCATGTACAAACAACCTGAGTATACATGTGAATGTCAACAAAAGCCATGATCTCTTTTTTTTGTGGAAGTTGTCCATAAATGTGTAAAGTCTCTACAGAAGTCCTTTACATGTCTCAGTACCGTCGCCATCTATTATCTTGGTTGCCACGGTTTCCGCCCTTATCGTCATGGTGTCTTTTGCCACCTCTGCTGTCACCGTGACGATTACCGCTCCTGTCTTGTTGCTGATAGCTGTCCCGGCCTTGTTGCTGGTGACGACCGGTAGTTGGTTCCTCTCCGTAGCGCTGGTTTCTGCCGCCGCCCTGCATCTGGGCCGGGTGGCGGTAGGGGGCGTTGTCATGGTGACGGGAGCCGCCGCCGCCTCCTCCCGCATTCCCCCCCGCCGGCGGCTGCCTCTGCACAGGCTTGGAGAAACCGCCATTTAACTGCTCAATCTGCTGCATCTGGATCTGCCACATCATGTTGTTCATCTACGAAGGAATAGAAAGGGTATCGATAACATGAGCCTTGTTTCCTATAATTGTATATGTTCTAGATTAGGGTTTAAATGCCCAATATTTAGCATGTACCATCATTTTCACTTCTTCCAAAAATGTAATAAAATTAATGTATGTGTTGAAAAAAAGTAGTTGAAATAAATAATCTGCCCCTTTCATAATATTGTAAAAAAATATACTTTTTTCATCATTACTTAATAATTTGTAATTGCAGAACTGAAAGAAAGAAACCCCTACACTAAAAAAAATGTTGATAGAACAATGACAGACAGCAACAAATCCCATAATATAAAACACTGTTTGTGTTCAGCAAGTATGTGCATGACTGTGTGAGCAGGCGAAAACGTATCTATGATAACATGACGTGTTTCATACGGTTCATTGAGGCCTAAAAAGGTTGTTTCTAGTCCTGTCAGATCATACAACGTAAACATGTCTTCTTTTTTTGCAAAGAGCAGGCCTCTGCATGTCACTCACATAAGAAGAAGATCCTGTGAGGTGTTGTGTGAAAATAAAAGAATAAAACGGTTACCATGACATGCTTCTGCAGACTGTCGGGAGATGAAAGGGACCTGTTCATCTGGGGTGGAGGAGTGTATGGTGGAGAGCTGAAGTGGACCGGGGTCCTGCAGGAGGGAAGCAAAACACTGTTAAATATTTTTAAAGTATTCAGAGTGGCAGGTGCACGCTAAACATAATGACTACCCGTTTGGGATAAAAAAATCTGTATGACTTTTTGATTATTTGACTCAATTTCTAATTCATGCTTTGGGCTTATTTCACTTCTTTGGCATTCATGGAAAAGTAACACATTTTAAAGTGTGCTAGGATTGCTTTACAAATAATCAGTTTTAAGTCAAGTTCACATGTAAATACAGTTGGATGTACAAAAGAGGGCTGAAAATGAATCTGGAGAATGAAGAGCAACCGTTCACAGTGAAGGCAGCATGAGCATTAATGACTACTATGAATACAGTAGCCCATACTGTAGTGGTTTCATATTTCTTCAGTTAATCTGACCACACAGTGATTATAAAGATCCATTGTTAAGAACATAATGTGAACTCGAGCAGAAAACTATTTCTTAGCATTTTTTTTGATAATGTAAACTCAGACTTCAAGCAAAGAGTACCGCGTCAAACAACAAAAGTTAACAAATGATTGATCCATATACATCGAGCCAAGGAAGTCAGATTTTACCAACATTGCAAATTAGGTCATATAACGTTTTGTTGGATGAAGCCTGTTGTTTGAAGTTATGAAGAATTGTTTTTCAGTGGTTAGAGATGTGCCAAGATCCATCAGCACGGTGAGGAAGCCAAGTCTAACTCGTCTGATTCCAAAGAGCTGCATCCACCTGTAGCTGGTGTTGCAACGAGGGGATTGTTCACCACCTTCACCTCAATATGCCCCGTGTAGACGTCTCTGCTTGCCCTCACTCACGACTCCTTGTTATCTTTGTAAGCATTAATGCCACTTATTGTTTAAATCCATGTTGGTTTGGTATATTGCCACGTGAATGCATAGATACATCTTTATCTTGACATGTTTTTGCAGACAGTTCTGTTATTCTACGCCTACATCAGAGTGCATTATAATTTATTTATATTTAGCTTATATAGCGAAATGTTAGACATCAATAAAATATTTTCCATTAAAGTTATACTTACACAAATGTACATGAATTGAACCGGGAATATGTTTTACTCAAATTATTTACGAACCCTTGAACGCAAAACTTGTAAACTAAAACCAATCTTTAAACATTACACCGGTCTAATGGTGCCTAATGTAACACCAGGGCAATCACTCAGGTTTTCCAGTATATTCTGTTAGCAGGCAGTGCTGCATGATGAAATCTGGCATAAAAAATGGAAAGGATTGCACAGTCTTCTACAAAAGTAAATACAGACCGGTCCAATCCCATTTCATGCCACCTTTTTGGCCAGAGCTCCAGTTTTTGTGCTGCCAAGAGCATGAAGAACTTGCACGTCTGCCACACACACACTGCGAAGGCTCGGTGCCCTCTGGTTTTTAGCCTGGTCTTGGGCACTACCAGCAGCAGTTGGTCAGCCCACCTTAATGCTCTGGCTGGGGTGTAGCGATGGAGGAGTTCTGCTATATATGCCGGAGCCAGCCCATTTAGAGCTTTAAAAACTAATAAAAAGGAGTTTAAAATCAATTCGGAACCGGAATTGGAACCAGAATTGGGGTGCTGTGGTGACGATTTTTGTGGCCAGTGAGAAGACGCGCAGCTGCGTTCTGCACTAGCAGCAGGCGTCCAATTGACGCCTGGTCCATACCCACGTATAGAGCGTTGCGATAATCCAGCCTTGTGGTAACAAAGGCATTAATAACCCTTTCTAGGTCTAGAATAAAAAAACGACCTGGTCTTGGCCAATAGTCGTATTTTTAAAAAAAAAGCAGGTTTTGACTACGGTGCTGACCTGCTTATCAAATTTAAAAGCGCTATTGAAGGTCACTCCAAGGTTCATGACAGAGGGGGGGATGTTTTTATTGAGGGAGCCCAGAATATCAACCAGAGAGGCTGGAGCCCAAAAAAGATGACCTCGGTCTTGTTCTCGTTGAGGTTAAGGACATTTTGGCTCAGCCAGGATTTGATCTCTGTCAAGCAGTCCAATAGCTGTAATGAGTTGACATTAGAATTGAGAGGCAGATATATCGGTACATCATCGGCCTAACAATGGAAGGAGATGTTGTGTTTTGTGAGAATTGAACCTAGGGGCAGTATGTACAATAGAAAAAGGATGGGGCCCAGAATGGAGCCTTGGGGAACCCCACAGGTAAGAGGGGCTTTGGCAGAGGAGAAGGCACCTAGCTGCACTGAGAAGCTACGGTCTGTCAGGTAGGACCTGAACCATGCAAGGCCAGAGCCTGTGATGCCTGCGGACTGTTCGAGCTGCGACAACAGGATGCTATGGTCCACAGTGTCAAAGGCAGCTGTCAGGTCTAACAGCACCAGGACAGCTGGGCTACCTGAGTCGGCGGCTAGGAGTAGATCACTAAAAACTCTTAAAAGGGCTGTTTCAATGCTGTGCATGGGTTTGAAGCCAGACTGAAACTTTTCA